TGGCGGGACCATTGCGGGATCACTGTGGGACCATTGTGGAACCATTGTGGGACCATATTGGGTCCATTGTGGGACCATTGTGGTGGGACCATTGCGGTGGGACCATTGCGGGACTGTTGTGGGACCATTGTGGAACTACTGTGGGCTCATTGTGGGAGCATTGTGTGTTCATTGTGGATTGATCTGTATTTACAGTCACCTTTATTTGTGATTGTCCCGGCAGTGGTATGGGCTGAACTCGTCCTGCTCTTCTCAATAAATATGCAAAGGGAACTCGATGCGGGTGGGTCTGATGTTGTTACAGGCACTCAACATCTCTGCACTGTTTGACGAAAACAGTCAGCTGACTCAGCATGTGCTGTTACTGCTGCCTGTGATTATGTGCGACACAGATTTTACACTCTGCATTTGCTCTGGCAAACGCAGCCAGCGTGTTCTTTGTATGCCTGTCCTGCTGGCTGTGTATGGGTGGGGGCACTGATGATAGGTAAAGACGATGCGGCATGAGAGAATGCACAACATATGTTTTGGTTGTATGGCTGTGTCCTGCTGGCTCTGTATCGTTCCATTTGTACTGGATGTCCCGCAGAACAGGACTTCTTATACCTCTCTCCGCCTTTTGGCTAAGATCTGTGTCTGTTCTAATCAGTTCCATATCTGATCCATGGTCTTATACCATGCCGCCTCCATTGTTGCCTCTGAATTGCACAGTCTCAGAGTGCGGTGCAGCCATCTGCAGGGAAAAAAAAAAGAGAAAAAAGAAGACGACTTGTGTTTTCGAACGTCTGGCACTAGCCCCGATATCTGCCTTTGAAGCTTTGACCTGCATCTGGCACTTGATCTGCCTGTGGTGCTGAGATCTGCCTCTTTTGTATTTTTTTTTTTGGGGGGGGGAATGATATTAGATCTGCCTCTTTGTTTTTTTTTTGGGGGGGGGGATATTAGATCTGCCTCTGGCCTGTAGGTCTACTACTTTTGGATTTACTATCCCCTGTTCTTTTGTCCTGTAGGGTCACTCATATAGAGGTGATGGTTTTCAGCAATCGTATTAGCAATGCCACCCAGGAAAGCAGTAAACAAGCGGATGTGGTCTGGGCTTCTCTGTTCAAAGGTTGAAGGGCCCACGGTACCGTCTTCACCCAAATTATGAATGTATACAAGCTACTTTTTGAGACCGATACACGGTACTGTCTTTCTTGATAAGGGTACGTGGTGTTCGTGGGAAGACAATTGAGTTGCTTCCTTGAAAAGTTCTCGGGAACCGTTTCTCACATTTTCTTCCCTTGTGGTCTTATTGTGTGTTTGCTTGTGTGAAGTAGGTGGATGCTCTTGCCTCCATGTCTGCATGGATTTGAGTGTTAAGCTGTTACTTGTTTTGTTCAACTGGTCTGCCCCAGGATCTAGTTCACCTGCGATCTGTTGTGTATGTGTTAAGTGTTCTGGACCAGGAACATGTGGATCGAATCGTAACCTGTGTGAATGCCTCCTTGTCTTAGTGGATTTGAGTCTAAGCTCTTGTGTTTGCTTGAGTGGTCTGACACAGGATGTAGTTGGTTGGTTGTTGATTCCTTGATGTTGGAATTTGACTTAACTGCAATCTGATGTCTGCGTGTGAAGTGTTCTGGCCCAGGAGCGGTTGGATCGAATCACGGCCTGTGTGAATGAGTTGGCATTGGCCGAGCAGATTCCTTCACCCGTTGGAAAACCGAGCTGTGAATCCGAGGAAGAGCAGAGCAAAGAAGGCTCTTCAGGGAAAGAGTTGGACCCTATGTTCTGGATGGACTTTGCAATACCGGTATCAAGTGTGCTGGGTGCAGCGGCGGCTGCTGCCGGCCTGATTTCCGACTGTTCTTCCAATCTTAAGAGGGCGTCAACTTCCTCCTCAACCATTGGCTCCCCGTCTGGGGTCTTATCGCTTTGGTCGCCAAAGTGGTGGGGCACAGACAGTGAGAAAGAGAAAGTAGACCCGCACCAAATGAAATGTCGTTGGTCGTTTGGAAGCGGAGGTGCTGTTGATGGAAGCCCGGAAGAAAAGGATCAAAGGGCCAGCAGAAGGCGTGGGGAAGGGGATGCAACTGTAGGTAAGGAGAAGGAAAGAAGGATTCTTTGGATAGGTCCGCGTCGGAACGATGCAGTTCATCCGGTTGATGAAAAGGAGGAGAAATCTTCTGGAAGTCATGCTGATCACGGCAGCAGCGAGAATGTCGACAGCGAAGCCACTCGGAGGGTCCAGCCCAGCCAGAATGGAAGCGAAGGTGAGAAGTCCGATCTACAAACGTGCAAGGGATTTGCAACTGATGCTTCTGTAGAATGTAAGGAAACGTCTGCGCAGTGCACAGAACGTGGAAGCCACCAGATGCGGGAGGAGAGCGCAAAGAATGGGGCAGAGTTGGCAACGGCGGAAGTGTCTACGAGTAACAGAAGTGCTGCGGGGGAGAGTCAACTCGATCTCAGGGAGGGTCAACGGACACGTGAAGAGAGTCTGTGGAGCGCTGCTGCAGAGGGTTGGCATCGTGAGTGTACTAAGGAAGAGAGTGTTAGGCAGAGTAGGGATAATTGTGACGCGAGCAGGGTAACGATAGAGTGCGCATCAACAACAAACATGGAAAGGAGTGGGAATGCGGGAGCTATGCCTGGCCCTGTGGGGAGGAGTGCGGATGGGGAAGAAGGGTCTACCGTGCTTGGGGGGAGGTGCAATGAACAACCAGCTTGTGCTGAAAATGGCCCAACTACTAAGGATCAAAGAGGGCAAGAAGATGGAGCGGCAGAAGCGGGGGAGCGCCTAAGGCATCTGGATAACGACACTGCGCTATGTGGAACTTCAGCTGGCCAAAGCCGAGAACCGGAGAGCCAGGATAAGGGTGTGGGCTCGGGAGCTGTCAGTGCTGTTGGGAGCGAGTCAGTGGATCCGCGTGTTGGCATGTCCGAGTCGATGGCATCGAGAGGTGGTGGTATAACTGCAAGTGCAGCACCAAGTGCCAATGGGATGGACCAGTTTGATGACAGGCTTTCCATATCGAGTCCAGAAGCTGTTGAGAGTCCTGCAGCAGCAACGCCGAAGATGCTGAGCTCTCCAGGACCCTCCAGAGGGTTGAGATCTGTCAGAAGTGCTGAATCATTGTGCAGGTGTGGACCCTTTGCTTGCAGTCCTTTCTCACCAGGCCGTGGTGGTCCCCACTTCTGTCCTTTCTTGTAGTCCTTTCTTACCAGGCAGGGTTTTACTCCATCTTTGCTTGTGGTGGTGGCCCTGGCGGTCTTAAGAAATATGACCTGGATGGGCGAAAATGGATTGCGAGCCTTCAGGATGTCGGAGGCGGGAGGTGAGCGAGATGTTTAGAGCGTCCCCACTTCCGCGATTTTTAGTTCTGATGTGTACATGCCAGTGCATAAGGGAAAATTAATAGGTGAATTGGAAAAATAAAAAAGATTGCCTCACAAAAATAAACATAAAAATTCTGGTGACTACCGAATGCCTCTGCATCCCTGTAGGCCAAACCTTTCACTCTTGGAAGGCCAGGGCTGCTAGCACCGGACAAAATAGCACAGGGAGTATTGTTGGTACACAAAAGTCAGGCTTGTCCATCGACTGGACCAAGCGAAAAAAAGGGGCAGGCCTCCTCAGAACCAGGGCGGTCGTAAAAAGTTGTGATGGCTTATGTCCTGTCATAGATAATCTCAGGGCATACTCAAACCAGGGCTTTTGCTACTGCGCTCTGAATGTAATTGCGGTCATATACATTCACGGGTTGCATGCGAGGCCTGTTGTGCCTGAATGGATATCCAGCGAAACAGTGCCCGGGTACTTTTCAAGAGTCGCGGCTGCGTGCACACCTCGACTCTGAAAAAATAGCTGGGAAACGTACTGGTGGTGTAAACTATAAGTCCCAAATATGGTTACCCAGTTCTCCAAGAGCGAAGTATCAGGAGGAATCCTCACCTTAGGAAATTCTTACCTTCATGTTTGTGATTGTGTGGAGGCCAACTTGTACGATGATGGGTGTAGGTGAGTCGCAGGGACCAAATGATTCTGCTGGGCTTTGGGGGCTCCGAGCCGAAAGCACAGCTGGATGTAGGCTACATACCTGTCGGTTCATGAAAGTTTCGATTCTTTTTTGTTTTCCCGAACGAAAAATCCTGAAAGTGCGCGAACGCAGTTTTGAATGCCCAAAGATTGCTTTTCCATGTCATCCGTTTTTCTTAAACCACCCGTTCACACGAGCCTAAGTTGACGAAGCTTCCTTCCAAGGGTTGCGAGCCTGCAACTGTGCCTTTTTAAAGTGGCCTACAAGGGCTCTACATCCCTTTTTCTTCAACCAGCAGTTCACATGAACCCAAGCTGTGGTCTTACCAGTATACACAGTGAGAGCACTGGGCTTCAGGCCTGGGCGGTAGTGAATGCGGCAGGCCACTTTGATGACAAGGCGCAGTTGCAGCTGCGCGAGCCTTGAAAAGTAGCTTCGTCAACTTAGGTTCATGTGAACTGGTGATCCCTACATGTATAACTATCGCTAATTTTTGGCCTGTGACAGGCAGACGATCGGGGCCCTGCGATTTTACACTCCGCGACGGTCCCGATCGTCTGCTGATTGTTTGATCTTAGAAGTTGACCCGTCCCAGGCGGCTCCGCGCAAGGGCCTGTACCGGGCCCACTCGCCAGCGCCGGTACCAAAGCGTGTTACCGGCCCTACCGCACGCGGTACTCGGGCTGCGCGTGGCGCGCTACCAGTCCAGCCCTGCTACAACTTGTAGAAACTACTTTCTGGGCCACGAGCACTGCCGACCTGAGGGCAGGTGTATCGACACTCTAAGCTACTTGACTGAGCCCTGTGCCACGCTAGAGTTGACGCCGGCGCTACTCTAGAGTCGACGCCTGTTTTCGGCACTCAAGCTGCTTGACTGAACTACTCTGTGCTACTCTAGAGTCGACGCCGGCGCTACTCTAGAGTCGACGCCTGTTTTCGACACTCAAGCTACTCGACTGACTTTTACACTGCTATGCACGAGTACGACTTTGCTCTGCGTTGGACACACGCGCACTCGCACACGCACACACGCACACACACGCACGCACACACGCACACACGGACTCACATACGCACACACACACACACACACACACACACACCACACACACACACACACACTCACCCAGGACACACCATCCCTATATCCTAAATGTTGGACGCTAAGGCTTGAGCTGTGCAGCGTCAAGGCTTTCGAACGACCGCACCTTGATGACTGACGGTGAGTTTGTTATTCGTGTCTGTTGCTTTCGTTCTTTGTGGTCTTGGAACTATGAGTGAGAGAGAGTGCGTATGTGCGGCGCGCGCGTGTGTGTGTGTGTGTGTGTGTGAGTGTGTGTGTGTGTGTGTGTGTGTGTGTGTGTGTGTGTGTGTG